TCTCCCGGCCCTCGAGGCCCCTTTCTGCGGCACTGGGGCTGAAGCAGGGCCGTGCCAGGCAGACACTCCGAGGGCCACAATACGGCCTGGCACTGTGTGGCCCTCCCTGAGACCCCGGGGATGGGAGAGGCCCAGCCAGCGTGACTGTCCCACGAGGGTCACCGCCCTGGTGTGAGAGACTGGACTACAGGAGGCCCTGGGTCTCAGGCCAAGGACAGGACCTGGCTGTTTCCTGGGTCTGAGACTTGCAAATTCAGGTAGAAATAGGATGGAGACCTGGAGGCCGTATAGAAAATACATTCCTAGTGTGTGGCTCTCAGTGTGCAGGACTCGGGGTGACAGGTGATTTCCCAGCAAGTGGAGGACTTTGAAAGCCACGCTGGTGTGTGACTGGGGCCACCCCTTGGCAGGGCAAGGTCCTCGCCAGTCGGTCATCCCCTGGCCCCTGCCCCTGTGAGGTGGGGGGTGCCCGCTTCCCTCGCTGCTGGCAGGAGTAGTTTCCCTCTGGGCTGGCCCAGAGGGGCTCAGGGTCCCCGCTATCCACCCCACAGGGTTTGCCTGCCGCAGCTGTGTGCCGTGGCCGTGGGGAGGCCTGGGAACAGGCAGGCTGGAGCTGTGGTGACCCTAGGACACTGACTCAGTGCTCTGGCTGGGCGCAGGTTTGGATTTTCCCTTACACCAAGGAGGGCAAAGCTGCTGTGCCAGCCCTGAGCGGCCATCAGAGCCGAGAGAGCAGCAGTGGGGTGCTGTCCCGTCCCGTGGTCCTGGGGCCCAGCTGCAGCTGCCAGCAGGACTGCAGTGTCGTTCACATGTCGAGTGTCGGCTGAGCGAGTGGCTGCTGCAGCTAAGGGGGTGGCGTTGTGTGCTGGCCCTCGGCCCCCAGCCCAGGCCTGAGTGACAAGCAGCTGACCACGGGCCCAGCTGCAGTCCCTGTGCCCGGCCACCATGGAGACAGCAGGAGTGGAGGGGCCGGGGGCCACAGATCCTCCAGAGAGGGGCTCTGTGCTGGGCTGGGCGGGCCAGGTGGGGTCTGCAGCCCCACCCTTTCTCCCCAGAAGTGGTGATTGGGTCTTGTGGGGCGGCGGTCGGCATGGGGGCAGGGCGGCCCTGTGCTGCCCCCTTCGTGGTCTGGAGCAGCCCACCCTGCTGTTGCCACATGGCCACTGCCGGGGGCGCCATGCACTGAGTGGACGTGCGTGTCTGGGCTGGGGAGCCATGGAGAGGCCCTCGGGGGCCCGAAGCCGTCCTGCAGGCACTGCTGCTCTCCGAGACCGAGACTGGCTCTGCCCTGCCCTGCGTGTGGCCTGGGGAGAAGGCCCCGAGGCAGCCCTCCCTGCTCCGGGCAGCAGCATCCTGCTCCCTCCCATAGCCGCTGGACGTCTGTCTCCCACCGGCTGGCCTCAGCTGCCCCGTGGGCCGGAAGAGGCTGCTGTGGACTCTGAGGCCAAGTCCACTTAGCCTCGGTGAGAGGCCTGGGTGACAGAGAGGGAGGGTTTGTTTTGCTTCCTGCACACAGTTATTAGATGTCGCAGATGTTTCTCAGCCGAACTGTAGCTCCCTGCGTGACAGTGGCTCAGCTGGGTGCTGGGCTCTCGCTGGAGCGGGGGAGGGAGCCGTGCTGATGCGGGCTGCCCTGGGAGAAGGCCCAGCAGGCCAGTGCCCCCTGCCCGGCATGGTGCACTTGGGGGCCGTGTCACAAGGCCCTAGTAAGCATCGCTTGGCTTGGATCCGAGCTCCTGGGCTTTATCTGTCCTCTCTTCCCCTGGCTGTGCACAAAGCTTCTTTCTGGCTGACCTGGACTTCCCATTAGATGCCTTTGCCTGCCTGGCAGGTCGGTGTCTGGGGTGCCAGCTCCTGGACATAGTCAGCGGCCGGGCGCTGTGGCCGGCCGGCCCCGGGCTCTGTAGCCACCGGAGTGGGCACCTCTGGGCCCAGGATGGCGCCTGGGCCTGTCTCCCCCTGTGGCGTCTCAAGCTGACCAGCAGCACCACCCCAGCTGCTCATAGTGATCCTTCGGGTTGCTCTTGTCCCTCTGGGGCCCTCACCTCCATCCTCTGTAGGGTCACAGTCTTCTGTAGGGAGCCTGAGGGAGCCTGCTGGTGCCCGGAGCGCTCTCCCATCCCTGTGTACTCTGGGAGGTCAGTCGTGGGCTCAGCATTTTTAGTCTTGTGTGGAAAATAGAAATGCACGGCACGGCAGTTTGCCTCCTCCAGGATCACGTGGCCTGCATCTACTGAGCGAGTGTGCAGAGCCAGAATCTGGAAGCCGCCTGGGCCTGCCCCCCCCCAGGCCCGCCCTCTGCTGTCACTGGGTCCTGTTGGGGCGACACGGTCACAGTGGGGTCCGGGGTGCGGCATGTGGGCGGCTGCTATGCTGGTGCTGTGCCCATCCAGATCTTCCGGGTCCCGACTGCTGGTGTCTGCAGCTCACCATGTGCGCCTGTGTAAGGATTTGAGAAATCGGACACATCATACATTCCGTATTTTCCATTTCAGTGTAGGAAGAATGGCGATGACGACGCGATTGTGGCTGCTGAAAAGGACCACTTCATGGATGAATTCTTCCGTCAGGTAAGATCATTTTCGTGAGGCCGAGTTGAGCACGTTGAAGTCGCGGTGCCCTGGCACAGTTCTCTCATGCTGGTGCATGGCGCATCTTGGCCCACGGTGACTGTGGGCTGCAGGCCGCGTAAGTGTGTGCAGGCGGGCACTGTGATGCTCGCGGGCCCTGGGTCCCTGGCAACGTGCTCCTCAGCATGGCCCTGTCACTGTGCGTGGCTGCAGTTCAGCAGTTGCTGTTGAGTGAGGAAGTTCTCTGGGCCGTGAGCACCCCAGGGTGTCAGCTAGCCTTGGGGCAAGGGGAGCGTCCTGCAGGAGGCCCAGATTGGCGGGCAGGCTGCTGGGGAGGCTGTGGTCTTGGGCTGTTGCGGGCCTGGGCTGCTGCCATCCTCTGTGTCTGGGGCAGGGCAGCCCGGCGGCCCCTCCTCCATCGGCGCTCGCTGGGAGCCGCTACCTGGAGGTCAGCGAAGAAGAGTTTTGACTTCACCCTTTCTCTGGCCCTGGATCTCTCCCACACCACGTCCTTGTGATGACTTCTTTTTTTTTTTTTTTTTGGTACCAGGGATTGAACTCGGGACCTTGCGCTTGCAAGGCAGGCGACTGATCCACTGAGCTAAATCCCCGGCCCAACTTCTTATTTCTTGAGTGCCCTAGCATCATGTGGCTGTGTTGATGGACAGTGGTGTGGCCATCCAGCTAGTGCCAAGCTGCCGTGAGTCTGGTTTTTTTTTTTTCAGACAGGGTCTCTCTGAGTAGTCCAGGCTGGCCTTGAATTTATAGTGATCCTCCTGCCTCAGCCTCCCACGTGCTGGGATTATAGCCGTGTGTCTGAGTGTGGTGGGCCTCATTCTGATGCCAGTTTAGGCCCCAGCTTTTGTTCAGTAGTTGTTCTGCAGTTTGTTTCTGTGAAATGACTTCTTAGAGAAACGAAGGTTTGTTAATATGAACTCACTTTTAGGAAATGGCATTCGGATCTTAAATATCATGCAGAACACTGTGGAGAGAGGGATTTTGGTCGTGACAGTGACAGGTAGAGCCTGAAACTCTCCTAGGAGGGGCTGGGCTCGGCTTTTGAGCAATTCTAAGGTGCAGAGAGAAACCTCATGTGGTGCAGTGCACTGGCCCTGCTGTCCCCATGGTGTGCGCTCCAGGCCAGAGCCACTTGGGGCTCCTGCTGCTGAGACGTCAGTCTCGTGTCCAGGACTCCCAGGGACCGTGGGCCCCACTGTTCCCTAGCACATGCGCCCCTAAATGGGCCTTCACAGTGGTGTCCTCAGACGTACCCCAAAATGTAACCAAATCCAGAGCCTGTGACTGTATTCACCTTTTAGCTCCCCACTTCCCAGCATGCTCTGGTGCCTGCGCTGGCCCCTGGGGTGCCAAGGCCCCGTGAAGAGGGCCGTGGGGCAGGGCTGTGTCGTGGCTGAGGTCAAACAGCCCCGCCCAGTCCGGTGCCTGCAGCCTCGACCTCCTCGATCTCAAGTCCTTTGGTGGCAGTGGTCCCTCATCTCCGGCCCGCCAGGGGATCCTGGGTCATTTCTGCCTCGGGGCCTCGGCACGCCTGCAGTGGCCTTGGGCTCCAGGGTTGGGATGTGGATGTGGACAGCAGCGGGAAGTGGGTGTTGAGTGTATTTAGGGTGCTGGGAAGGGGGACCGGCGGGGCTCTGGCCTGAGGTCCCCTTTGGTGTCTCTGTGGGGACACTTGTGACTGTATTGGGGACACCGAGACCCAGGATGACTGCCCCCCTGAGCCCCGTAGCTTAGTCATAGGTGTGGTTTCTCTTGCCACGAGGCAGCATTGGTTCCGGGGTCTCTTCTGGGGCCACTCCCCAGCCTCCCCAGTGACGTTCGAAGGTGCTCGTGGGAGCACGGTGTGTTCTGAAGCAGATGTTGAACAGCTCAGGCACTGAGAGGCCAAAGGCAGATTCCCAGGATGGGCCATGCCAGCTGCTGAGGTCCTTGTGCAGCAGGGTGACTGGCGTGTACCTCGACTATGCTCACGTCGCTGTTGGGTGGCCCCAGTTCTGAAGGCAGGTGTGTCTCCCTGGCGCCACCTTTGGTGCGGTTTGGGCCCGGTGGAGGGCGCCGAACATCCCGTTAGGGTTTCTGGCAAGGACCGACTGATGCTCACTTAGTCAGGGAAGTCGGCTGTTGATGTGGCTCCGGGCTCTGAGCTCCGGGATGTCACGGTGAGCATGGGAAAGGCTCCTACGCGTGCAGTCGGCGTTCATCTGCTCCCCCTGCCTGCGCTGTGTAGGCAATGGCGAGCGATAGCAAAGCTGAACTTGCCGCACTCTGACGACTGCTGTCCCTCCTAGGTGGAGGAGGTCAGAAACAGCACAGCTGAGATAGCGCAGTACGTGGAGGATGTGAAGAAGAACCACAGCATCATTCTGTCTGCACCAAACCCGGAAGGAAGTGAGCTGTGGGCTGTAGAGTGGGTCTGTCTGTCTGTGTGTGCATGTGCGTGTCTGCCTGCATATCTGTCTGTCTGTCTGTCTGTCTGTGTGCCGATGTGCCTGGCACTCCGGCTGTGGTTGGCGCAGTCTCACCAGCCTCGCTTCACCCTGAAGAGTGGGAGTTGCACAGACGGTGCCTGAGTCCCCCTTGGCACCCCGAGGCCTCCGCAGGGGGTCCCAGGCTCCCTGAGCAGCCCTAGTGCACTGCCCGGGGCCTGGTGTTCGAGGTCCCTGAGGACACGTGTGACTTTGCAGAAGTTGGGGCGTGACACGGATCGGGGTCTGTGCTGTCCACAGTCAAGCCCTTGTGCGTTTGGTGCGCGGTTGAATGTGTGACAGCAGTTTAAGGGGGGGGTCAGCTGGGGGTGCTTTGGTCCGAGGGGAGCTTTGGCGGGGTGGGTGTCTGCTGTGGCAGCGTGCGGCCCGAGGGTGAGCGACCTCGTGTGTCGGTGTGACGGGTTGACTGGGGTGATGAACGTGGGGAACTTTACAGGGTGTGTGGGTCCCCACGAGCCAGGGTCTCCCGCTGGAACTGCCTGGAGAATGGGTAACAACTGGGAGTCTCTTTGCGCTGCCTTTTCCGAGTTCCGGTTTCTCCCGGCACTGATCTGTGATCTGCTGAGCCAGCGTGGGCCACACCTGCCTTTTGTTGTTGATCTTCTCGGACGGGCGGTGTCTTGATGTTACCGAAAGCAACACCTGCTTCCCATTTCATTTTCTGTTGGTTTGTTGGTAGGATGCAGAGATGCTATAGCACTGTGTGTTGACCTCCTGTCCCATCGCTGTACCGAGCTAGTTACTCTGATCATTTCTCCTTGCATAGAGAGCTCTCACTAGGGCTTACTGTTTATGCTTAGCTGACGTCTTCACGGATTGCAGCTCTGTTAGGCAGGAGTGGAGGTGGGTGATCATCCTCAGTCTTGGAGGAAAGGCACAGCCAAGGCTTTGTATTCCATACATTGGAAAAAATAAGTAGCTGGTGGGATTCAAGTGAAAAGGAGCATACTTTAAAATGCTAACCCGCTGGAGGGCCCTGCTCTGACACAGGGCCATTTCACAGAAGGAGCGCCTGGCTGTCTCCCCAGCGCCCCCCATGGCCCTGCCCTCCAGGGGCTTCCCAGTGTCACATCCCTCCCCAGAGAGCTGCCAGGTCCTCCCCACTTCTGCAGCCCTAGAACCCCACAATGAAGACGCTCATTTCACCTGTCAAGTCCAGGGTTACACCCAACGTTTCACATGATATCCTGTTTAATTCCTAGGCAAATTTAATTGGGATAAATATCTTTTGAGGAGTTTATGTCCAGACCAGTTTTCTGCCCAGTGAGAGCAGACACACCTATGGTGGTAAATGGACTGTTTCACAGCAGCCCTTCTTGGCCTGAAATGCACCGCAGGGCTGCTTTTGTCTTTCAGGAACCACGGAGTAGGAAGCGGGGCCCAGCTGCCTGCTCAGCTGCTCTCTTCCCAGTGGTAGCCCTGGACCAAGTGCCCAGGACAGGCCTGTCCCCTCCTCGAGGCCTCCCTACCCTGTGTGCCCAAAGAATAGATGGCCCTGCTGGGCTGGCGGGTGTGGAGTCAGGGGCCCCGCCCACCCCGCCCCACGGCAGCTGCTCTCCCAGCAGTGGCCCAGGCGCCTCTTGCTGAGGTCCTGGAGGGTGACTGTCCCTTGCCGTGGTCCAGGAGCTGTGTGAACGCTGACCCTGCAGATGGGAGAGCTGCTGCTGTGCGTGACGGAGCGGGGTGCAGGCTCCAGTGCTGTCCTGGTTCCTGGACACCAGGGGCTCCCCAGCCCTGCTCCCTGGCCCAGGAGGCTGGTGTCAGGGGGATGCGTGAGACTCCAGGAGCTGCTCGCCCAGCAGGACCTGATGGGGCCCTGCCCTTCACTCCTTCCCAGGGCCATCCAGTGCCGGCAGCATTTTAACCCCTTTCTTTGCTCGGAATCAGCGGAGCCAACTTCTGCTCACGAGAAGCACCAGAGCCTCTGAGCACAGCCTGGAGGTCCCTCTGCAGCCCTGGTTGCCTGGCTGCCCAGGGCTCTCTGCAGCTGCCCTGTTCTGGTTCCGTGTGCTCTGCTCCTTGATCAGATTCAAGGGCTCCACTTCTGGCTCTTCTGGAAGCGCAGTGGGATCGCGTGATCCCCTGTTACTGCATGTGACCTTTCCCTGTGACCTTAACCCAGGCCACTGATGGGCTGCAAAGCTGGGGAGCAGCACAGGCGTCAGGCAGTGTGGGGCACAGGGGAGGCTGCTGGGAGGACGGCCAAGCCCGCCTGGGCTGCAGGTGGGACTGGGTCTCAGCTGTTGGCTCATCTGGGCTCCACTGTGAGCTGGTGGGGTTCAGACCTGCAGTGCAGGGGCCTGCAGAGCGGGCACCAAGCCCTGCCCACGGGAGGGGCCAGTGGGAGTGGGCCGCCTGGGTGTTTGGAGTCTGCTGCTCTCTGTGGTTGATTGGCCTCGCTTGAGTTCAGTGCTGTAGCTCAGATGCCTTATTTTAAATTTTAAAGAAATCAAAGAAGAGCTTGAAGACCTGAACAAAGAAATCAAGAAAACTGCTAACAAAATTCGGGCCAAGTTAAAGTGTGAGTTTAAAATTTGATTATCAGTGGTGATAGGGATAATTACTATTTAGTTTTTTCTTTTTAGTTTTTTATTCTCTTACATTTTCAAAAATTGTGACCATGTCAAAACAAACTATTTGTGTGTATTTGGAAGGGCTACTACACATCCAGTGAAAGGAAGCATTGCTCATTCAACTCCTGGGCTTTAAAGTCATTTTGAATAGTTCTTGTTCCTGCCATTTTGGCATTTGTTAACTTGAACTATAGTTAAGTTGGTTCATTTTGGTTTTTTGAGACAAAGTCTAGCTGTGTGGCCTTCAGTTCACTGTGTAGCTCAGGCCGCCTCAAACATGCAGCGATCCTCTTGGCCCAGTGTCCCTCATGCTGGGATCACAAGCGTCCGCCACTGTGTCTGGATTTTTAAAAATTTTAGATATCGCTCTGTGTATGTATTTATTTTTGAGATGGGGTCTCGCCCAGTTGCCCAGCTGGCTTTGAACTTGAGAGATCCTCCTGTCCCAGTTCTGGTGAGAAAGGAAAGCAGTTTGGGGTTTGGCTTGAGAAACTGAGCTTTACGTGGAAACTTCTATCCTGTTTCCTTCCAGCCATTGAGCAAAGCTTTGATCGGGAGGAGAGCAGGAACCGGACCTCTGTGGACCTTCGCATCCGCAGAACCCAGGTGTGACTTTGCCCACATTGGAGGAGGTGATGCAGGGCAACCGGTCCTTTCCCCTCCTGCAGACCCAGCAATGCCGCCCTGCCACGCACACTCACCCTTCTGATCCCCTGGGGAGCGGAGTCCCGTCCGTCCTTGCGGGGGGTGCTGTGTGTGGGTAGCAGGAGGAGGCCGGGTGTTCCGGTCCCCACGAGTGGATGCCTGCAGCACAGCAAGGTCGCGGTGAGGTAGGGCTGGGGCACGGTGGGGGGGCTTCTGCATTGTTGGTGGGAGGTGAGCTAGTAAACCCGCCAGGGAAATCAGCATGTGGACTCCTCAGAAAGCTGCACATAGACATTCCATTCACCCCAGCTCCACCTCTCCTGGGTACCTTCCCCAAAGAACTAACGACGCCATATTGTAGGGGTCTGTGCACACCCACGTTTATGGCAGCCCAACTCCGAGCAGTTAAACCTTGGAAGCATCCGTACATCCATCGAAGATGAACGGATAAAGAAAACATGGTGTATGTGAGCAGGGGAGATAAATCTGAGTCATTTGTAGGAGAACGGGTGCACTTTGAGACCATAACAACATTCAGTGAAATAAGTCAGACACACGAGCACAGACATCATGTGGTCTCTTAGACGAGAAACTGAATGTGTGAATCATTTAAGCAACAAAATGAAAGATACTATGAAGCAGGGAGGTAGCTCTGCCAGTGGGAAGTAGCGACGCAGGGGACAGGAGGGAAGGGAAGAGGAAGTCAAAAGGATGCAGCTGTGTTGTGCACGGCACAGCACAGCGTAATGTACGGCAACGCGGACTCGTAACAAATACAGGAAAAACAGTCCATACACACACAAACGGCTTCAGCCTGCCCTCGCCACCGCAGGGTACCCCAAGTGGCGGACACCCCAGGAGTACAAACCCCAGCCCCAGAGCACGCACGAGTGCCTCCTGAGGGCCCGTGCCCTGTTCTCCGAGTTCTTGCTTAACTCTGCCTAATAAACGTTTCTGGCGCCAGGTCAGCAAAGGCCGCGCATGTCAGTTCTTTACCGTAGATTCCGTCCCAGGCTGTGCCCCTCTGCCCTCCCACCCGAGGTGGGTGCGCTGGCCCAGCCCTGGACTGTAACGCTGGGACACGTTGTGCCCATGGAGGCTGAGACCACGCACTAATGTCACTCTCCCGGCCACCAGCATTCTGTGCTGTCCTGGAAGTTCGTGGAGGTCATGACGGAGTACAACGAAGCCCAGACTCTGTTTCGGGAGCGGAGCAAAGGACGCATCCAACGCCAGCTTGAAATCAGTGAGTCGGGGGGCGGGACAGGGAGTGTGCCCCCCAGGGCCTTGCTGCTGAGCAGTCTGACTCCACTCTGCCTGCAGTGATTCCACCCATCTTGACCAGTATTGTGAAACTAGACTTTTCCTAGCGTCCTTGTCCACGAATCAACCAAACCTATTACTTATGTACAGCCCACCGAAGCTTGAGTGAGGGACTTGAAGTCACTTTCCAATGCCCAGAACTCTCAGTGCATGCAGCCGGGGGTTAGGAAACCCCAGGCTGTGTCTTCAAGGCCGCTGTCTGCGGCGGGAGGCGGGTCACAGCGCAGTGCGGTGGCCGAGTGAGCTCGGGAGAACCACTGTGCTGAGTGCTGCTTCTCACTGATTCTCAGCTGAGCCGGGGAAGCCGCCCGATGCCTCAGGCCTTCTGTGATCAGTGCTGGGGCCCTCCCTTGTACCCTCAACCCTGCCCGGAGAGTAGGGACCCTGCTGGGGTGTCAGTAGCCCGTCAGGGTGGGTCGCTGCTCGCAGCAGCAGGGGGAAGGCGCTGAGTGCCTTTCCGTCCCCAGCCGGAAGGACCACCACGGACGCGGAGCTGGAGGAGATGCTGGAGAGCGGGAAGCCATCCATCTTTACCTCGGACGTGAGTGTGGGCCGGGCTCCCACCGTGGGGCCCCTCCCACCCCTGGCTCACTGGGGCCCTTTGCTCTGTTTCTCCAAGATCATCTCAGACTCATACGTCACCAGACAAGCGCTCAACGAGATCCAGTCTCGCCACAAGGACATCATGAAGCTGGAGACCAGCATCCGTGAGCTGCACGAGATGTTCGTGGACATGGCCATGTTCGTGGAGACGCAGGTGAGGACGACGGCTTTGAGCTGGACCCGTCCCCCTCGGTCAGGGAGCTGGCACCGTGGGCCCGGCTCAGAATTAACGGTGGTGTCCTGTGTGATGCCGGGCGCCAGGCACAGGCGGAGCTTCCCAGGGTGGGGACGCTCGTCAGAGTCAGTTCGTTCTGCCCCAGCCTTTCAGACAGCTGTGGCCACACTGGCACTGCGTCCTTGGGGAGTTTGCAGGGGAATGTACGAGGGTTTGTGCTGGCATGTCAGGTTAAGATAAAAAGGGATATGAACATGGAGCATGTGTACCACACATGTGTGGACCTGTACTTGTGTGAACACACACCGCAGGAACTCAGCCACTGAACGGTGTTCCCAGAGAAAAGACGCACCCTGCAGTCTAGTGGCACTGGGCCACGGCGTGTAGTTTCAGTTTGCTGCGAGGAGCATTTGCGGAGCAGTCACTGGGAGAGGGGCTGGAAGATCAAGCCGCCCGGGCTCCAGCTGCGGCCTGAGAGCCGTGCTGCCCGCCCAGCAGCCCGGGCTGGGGAGCGGCGGGAGCGGAGGTGTAGGGCTCTGTGTCCTCTGCCCGGAGCTGCTCGGCCTGCCCACGTCGGAGTTTGTTCGGCTGACATTTTGGCTGGTCGCTGGGCTGGCGGCCGCCCACCCCAGGTGGCCCCTTGGCACATTGCCCCGGCGGGCTTCCTGAAGGCAGTGCCAGTGTGTGCCGAGCTTGCCCCGGTGGTGCCGGCCAGGTCGCATCCCCCTCAGCACCAGCTGGAGAACACCGTTTGCAGAGGAGCCTCACGGAGTCCGTGCAGGGCTGGGGCATCCCAGCTGGGCCTCACTGCCCTGGCACCGGGTGGCTGGGCAAAAACTGCCGCTCCACGCAGAGTGGAAAGGGGGTCTGGGTCCGCTAGCGGCTTACTCACAGGGGCAGCCACGGGGAGCCAGCTGCACAGTAGGACTAGGTTAATTTTGTAATTACCGAAGATTTTAACAGATGCCATAGCTTTTAGTTGTTCCCGTCCCACGCCAAGGGCGCCGTGAGCATAGCGTGGCTCCTGTTCCCTTGGAAGTGCGAGTAGCACAGCTCCCGGCTGTGGGCAGGGCTGGCGGGGAGGGAGCGCTGTGCCTGTTAGTCACCTGTCCGTCCTTCTTCACTGCTCTCCTCTTGCTGCCGCAGACTTTGTCTTCTGGCGCGCAGAGCCCAGGTAACGTGTTCCACGCTGCTCTACCACCTCCTCCTCCTCCTCCTCCTCCTCCTCCTCCTCCTCCTCAGCATCCTCAGGAGCCCACCCTGCCTCTGTCCATCCCTCATCCGTGAACACCAGGCAGTCACTGCACTGAGTTTCCTGACATTTTAAAGTGATGTTTGCCCGTTGTAAACGCTGTCATCCTCGGTGTACAATGTTTTGCGTGGTCGTGAAACATTCATCCACCTAGCACAGGCTGCCTCTGTCCGGCGCTCACCCGGGAGACGCCCACGGTAGAGGATGTGTCTGCCCGTGTCCATGTCCAGGTCGCACTCGGTCCATTGCATGGTACTGGCTCGTTTCAGCCATCTCGCCCTCCACCTGGCTGCGGGTACAAGCTCCACCCCGTGACACGCGCATTCTGTCTGCATACACGGTGTCCTGCTGCACACACCCCTGAAAATGGCTTCTGAGGCCGGTCCTCTTGTTTTCAGGGTGAAATGATCAACAACATAGAGAAGAACGTGATGAACGCCACAGACTATGTGGAACACGCCAAGGAGGAGACAAAGAAAGCCATTCGGTACCAGAGCAAGGCCAGAAGGGTGAGTGGCTGGGAAGCGCTGAGTGTTTTCTCACCCTGTGGTTTCGCGTTGTTAGACACCAGTGCCACCTGGAAACGCAGCCCGGAAGTAAAAGTTCCTTCAATAAATGTTATTTTAAAACTGAAACGGTTCTTTTTGGGAAGAATTTTATAAACTTTTCAGGCAAACTGAACATAAGCTATTTCATGCTCTAAGCCTCGAAAACCCTTCCCAACCTCTGGCCAGAGCTGTCTCCCTTTTCCAGGTTGGCTGAGCGTGGCAGGCTGAGTTCTGTTTCCAGTCGTTCCTGGGAGGGGCTTGAGGCCTCTGGCTCGGGGATCCCCTGGAACTCTTGGCCTCATGCTGTGTGGCGAGCGCTTCCTCTGTTAGGCTGTCAGTGGCTGCTTTGGTCTGGAGGGACGGGGCGCTCTCCGAGCTGTAGGGCTGATGCCCTATGCAGTGCCCTCCCAGGCGCCCCCGGGGGACCGAGCCCCTCCTTCATGCCCACCGCCTCCCCAAGCCTTGCACCCAGGGCAGAGTTGAGGACCCCTCCTGCTGACCCAGGGCCTCTGGCCTGGGTGCTGGGGGAGCCGTAACATTTGCACCTGAATCCTAAAGGTGTTAACGTCACGCCATTTGTGAATGAACACTCTCCTGGAAACTGTGAAGCTACAAAGCCACGTTCCCACGGAGAGACTGACTCTGAGCCAGGTGTGGGGCTGCATGCCTGTGAGCCCAGCCTGGACAACCTAACAACTTAGTGAGAGCCTGTCTCAAAGTAGAAAGTAAAAAAGGACTGGGGATGTAGCTCCGTGTGAAGAACTAATATTGTCAAAATGGCCGTATTACCAAAACTGGTTTACAGGTTTTCCACAATACCAATCAAAATACCAACAGCGTTCTTCAGAACTAGAAAAAAAATCCTAAAAGCCATACGGAACCAGAGGAGACCCCAAATAGCAAAAGCAATCTGGGTAACAAGAGCAGTCCAAGAGGGTTCACAATCCCAGATGTCAAGTTGTATCGCAAAGCTGCTGTGATGGAAACAGCCAGACACTGACATAAAAACAGGTGAGGGTCAGTGGAACAGAGTAGAGGATGCGGAAGTAACCCCAGGCACATGCAGCTATTTGATCTCTGCCAAAGGGCTAAAAAATAACCTGGGAGGAAGACAGGCCCTTTAATAAATGTGCTGGGAAAACACTTTTCCTGTGCAGAAGACTGGACCTAGACCCTTATCTCTCACCATGCACTGCACTAAAATCAAAATGGATCAAAGACCCAGATATTGAAACAGAAACACAAAATCTGATTGAAGATAATAAAAGAGGCAGCACTCTTGAAGACCTAGGTGCAGGCCAAGACTTTCTGAACAGGACCCAGTTGCATGAGAAATAGCACAAGGGAATCAGCAGTGGGATTTATCACGCTAACTGCTCAGCAGCTTGCTCCTGCCTCACTTTTCCCAGCGTCACTTGGGCAGGCGCTGTTTCAAGCAGTCCATTTGTGTGTTGAATAAATTTGATAAAATTAATTTTATGTTTTGTTTTATTATCTTATAAAAATTAATGAAAAAATATACAATTTTTTGCCACCTGGTATTTAAATAATTTACAGGACTGGTAAGTGTTTAGTTAAAAGCTTCTGCATTGCAGAGGAAACAACCAACAGAGTGAAAAGACAACCTGCAGAATGGAAAAAATTTGCCAGCTACTCCTCAGAAGACTAATGTCTAGAATATACAGAGAATTTAAAAGAAATTAGGCCTCCCAAAATAAAAGACCCCACAAAAAATGGGCAACTGAAAAGAACAGACTCTTCTCAGAAGGGGTACAAATGGCCAATAAATAGGTGAATAAACAGTCAGCACCACTGACTGTCAGAGGAATGCAAATTAAAACAGCACCGAGATTCCACCTGCTGTGGTTGTATTTAGATGTCCCCCAAACCCTGTGTCATAGGTGGAGCTTTTCAGAGGGGCTGGATCTCGGGTGTGTGATGCTGAGATTAAGGGTGCCCACCCTGGGTGAGTGCTGCCTGCCACAAGGGCCTGGATAGAATATAAGGGATGGAAAGAGGAAAGAGGCCTGCTGCAGTGCTGCTTGTCGCTTGCTGCCTGCTGCCTTCTGCCTGCCCTGCCCTGCCATGGACTGTTTCTCCTCTGTGTTGCCCCTCTGCCATGCTGTGCCACCTTGGAGCCATGGCCTTTGAGTCAGGACTATGGATCGAAATCTCTAGGACCTGTGAGCTAAATAAACCTTTCCTCCTTTAACTTTGGGCATTGGATGTTTTGTCTCAGCAACAAGGAAAATAACAAAGACACCTTCCTTCTCCAGAAGGAATGGCTGTCATCAAGAGATCAAATGATGGGCCGGGGATTTAGCTCAGTGGTTTTGCTGCCTGCTGCGCAAGCGCAAGGACCCAAGTTCGATCCCCGTACCAAAAAAAAAAAAAGAGATCAAATGATAACAAATGCCGGTGAGGCTGCAGGGGGGAAAGGACCTTTCTGCACTGTTGCTGGGGATGTAAACTAGTGCAGCCTTTCTGGAGATCAGTGTGGAGCTTCCACAAAGAACTAAAAATAGAAATTCCATTCAGCCCAGCCATTCCCTACTAGGCATTTTCCTGAAAGAGTTAAAGTCGTCCTGTTATGGTGATCCATGCACACCTATGTTTGTAGCAGCTCAACGAATATTAGCTATATCTTGGAAGTGTCTGTATATCTACCCTGAGATAAAGAAGTATTTATATACAACGCAGTACTGTTTATCCATAAAGAGGTACAAATTTGAGTCATCTGTGGGAAAATGGATGCACCTCAAGACCGTAATTAGTGGGATAAATCAGACTTGCAAGCTTACATGCGCTGTGGTCTCTCTGATATGAGAAAGCTTAAGTATAAGTGACTCAAAGAGCAAAACAAGAGCACGGGAAACGGGCCCAGGCATTTTGCAGATGGGAGGGGCTCCAGAGCAGAGGAGGGAGTGAAAGGGATTAGGGATGCACGTGTGCGTGTACCAGTTCCCCAGGCGGAACGATTCGTTCGTTGTGGAGTGGCATTTAATATTCACTGCGTGTACTAATTAAAAGAAGAAAAAGGGAAGACAGGGACTTTGGCGCCAGAGCGCTCCTTGCCTGGGTTGCCTGGGTTGCCTGGGTTGCCTGGGTGCCGGGCCGCCTGCCTCTGCACCTGGGATGGAGGGCCGAGCCGGAGCCCGGCTACTCCTGGGCAGTGTGGCCCCACCGCCCCAGGGTGCCGGTGCCCGCGGGCTGTGCCCCAGCGCTCCGGCTCGCACGTGAGTCCCTCTGGAAACTCAGTGTCACCCAGGGGCCCGGCAGCTGCCCCGTGGTGTGGGTTTGACAACGCAATGTGCTGGGTGACGGGTGTCTCGTGCTGTGGTGTAATCCAGTCGCTTTTCTTTGACAGAAAAAGTGGATAATTGTGGCCGTGTCGGTGGTGCTGGTGGCTGTCCTGGCGCTAATCATCGGCTTGTCGGTGGGTGGCAGTAAGTGACTAACCAGCTGGAGCACGGACTAGCTGTCCTGTTGGCCGGCGTCACGTTTCCCGACATTAATATTCTGAAGACGATAAAGCCTGTGTGCCGAGCTGTGTGCTGTCCTCGCTGACGCGTCTGAGAGGGAGCGCAGGCCAGGGGCCACCGCGTCACCCCAGGCCCGGCCCCCCTTGTCTCTTGGCGACTGTGGGCCGTGTCACCTGCACACAGTGGGCCTGGTCCGGTGCTGTGCCAGGGAGGACGAAGCAGGTGCCGGTGACATTGCAGTCCCTCCTGACACTGTCACCTCCAGAATCGCTGCCCCAGCTGAATGATGTTATTTTGTAAAATGCACCCGTGCATGACTTGCACTGTGGCACCGAGGAGGGGAACCAATGAAAACCAGTGACTGAAAACAGAACCCTCCGTCTGACTTTTCCACATGGCAGCTTCTGCTCTGTTTACAATTCAACCCTTGTCAGATGGAAGCTGTGTGTGGTCGGCACTGGCCCCAGCCGGGGTCCCGGACTGCACGGTCTGCAGTTTACGCAGAGCGTCACCGTCATGCCCCATGTGAGCCCCCTCCTGCTTCCCGGGCTCCCTGTCTCCGCTGGTTTCCCTGGATTTGGGGGTTGTCCCCCCGCACTGTCCCCGAGTCATGCCCCTGGCGTGGGAGGCCCCTGCAGGCACCTGGCCGCCCCTGTGAGGGATGCGGTCACCCACTCCCCTGAGCTGGGGGCGCAGGCTGGCTTGCTCGGCTCCTCAGACGCTACGCAGACAGGTCCCTGTGAGCCCGGCTGTCACAACTGCTTGGGGTCTTTTTTTCCAGTGCTGGGATTGAACCCAGGGCCTTAGCACTGATCTAACTCACACACCCCTTTTTTAGTTTTTTGTTTTGAGACAGGGTTTCCTAAGTTGCTGAGGTACCCAGGCTGGCTGGAACTTGCTGTCCTCCTGCGTCATCCTCCTCAGGTGCTGAGATTACGGCCTGCACCACCATGCCCTGCAGGGCTTCTTTCTTCACCTGAGCAGCAAATGTCACAGCTAGCGGCAGTGATCAGATGAGGCTGACGGCTTGTGTGCAACACGCATTGGCCACGGAGAGCTGCTGCCCTGGCGCTGGCCACACTGTCCACCTCCCTCCTGCGGGGAGAAGGGCTCCGTCACCATCTGCATCGGGCTGGAGTTCGTGTGTCTGCCCGGCCTCCTTTCTCTTAGCTCTGCTGAAAGAATGGCATATGCGATTTTTCTGCACTACCGCAGCGGTCCTTTCAGCGTTTCTGGCTTTCTCTGTGAATGTGCCTTTTCTGTGTTTCCGGGGCGGAAATTTGGTCTGAGCAGTGGCATGAGGGAAGAAGGCTCCTCGGGAACCCTGGGTGCGGGCAGGTCCCCCCGCCTGGGCTCAACAGACCGGGGCACAGTGGGGACCCCAGGACGTGGCTCGAGGTCTCTGGTTGGCTCTGCAGGGTCACTGTGCCCCTCGGGCCCTGAGGGCCGGCCGGACCCTCCCTGCAGTTGGGCCCCGCAGCCACCTGCAGCCGGGTGAGGGGACAGGCCAGAGGCAGGTGCCGGTCATGGTGGGTGCAGCTCCCAGGGTGGGCAGGCAGGTGCCCTCTGTCACCCAGGAGCCACGGGAGGAGATGGGAGTGGTCGCCCAGCTCACAGTGGCCGGGTCAGGCAGCATGCCTGGGCTCCTGTCTCCTCAGTGCTGTGCGTCCTGCCGTTTGTGGCCCTCGAGGCAGAGGACACACCTGCAGCCCAGGTGTGTGGCAGCCATCCCACAGCAGGCGCCAGCTGGAGCTGCGTGCGGAGTGGAGTGGCAGTGCCCAGGGGACACAGTGTGGACAGTCGGGCCTCCAGGCTCTCACACAGTGTGGAGCGGGACTATGGGGCCTGTGTCCCCAGGGCCGCCCCCGGCTGTGCTGTCTGCACGTCCTGCTGGATGACACTGCTGCCGCTGCCGCTGCATCGCCACCCCCTGGGAACTGCTCAGCTCTCGCTACAGACAGCGTTTCCTTTGCTGTTACTGTTACTGTTACTGTTTTTGCCCCCTTTTTTTTTGGTACTGGGAATCGAACTCAGAACCTTTCGCTTGGTGAGGCAGGTGCAGCACCACTGAGCTACATCCCGGCCCTGTTACTGTGTGTGGGGCTGGTGGCAGCGTGAGGCAGCTGGTGGTGGGACCGAGGGGCGGAGCCTGCTTTCCGCCGTGGACGCACAGCCTCACCTGCTTCCCCTCCTGCTTCCCCTCCCTCAGCCGAGTTTCCTGAGGAGACGGCGGCTTCAAATTGTGGGAGGGTGTCTGAGGGTGCCAGCTTTCAAAACAGAAAGGAAGGAAGCTCAACGCCGCCCTGTGCTCAGCGGTCTGCGCAGAGGCTGCTCGGCAGCCAGGTGGACGTGTGCTCACCGAGGCGGCTCGTCAGGGCCAGAAGAGGCGCCGGGTCAGGGCGGCCCCAGGTGGATCGCTGCTGCGTCCTGACGTCCACTGCTCATCAGCTTTGGGGTCTGTGTCCCGCTCGGCCCGCTCGGCCCTGGAGTCCCGCTGTCCCCAGGCGTCCAGGACTTGTCTGGTTTCCTAGTCATGGACTTACATGTGAGACTCCAACATTTCAGAAGGCCAATGTTAGGAAACGGCACTGATTTCTTTCCTCTGATACGTTGTAAATTCACATTTCTCTTTGTCTTGCAGAAAATGATGTTCACTGTTACTTGCGTAATTATTTTGCTTGTGATCCTTGGAGTGATCCTCGCAGCAACGTTGTCTTAGCAACCACATCCCAGAATTGTCACCCGTCACAGGCCACGCCCCCGCAGCATCGGTGGATGGAGCCCAGTGGGCGTCAGGGTGTGGACCCCAGGCCCACGTGCTAAGCCCCGGATGCCGGGCTCAGGAGCCTCATGGAGGCCCTGGCATCGGGAGTGACTGCCGATGTCACTTCGAGAAACTGTCCAGTGTTAAGAGTGTGCACGTGGAATTAGGGCCCTGCTGTGAGGCTATGAAATGGAGGCAGGTCCAGCGCAGCTAACACCTGCTGATGAAGAGACGGTTGGTCATAGCGTCATCGTGTGTGTGTCCTCCTGGCGGAAATAATTCTCATTACCCCAGAGCTGTTTTGTGCAATATCTGTAATTTTAGATGTTTATAAATTAATGAATATTCTGACACATTCACTCCACTTTGCATGCTAAGTGCTGGCTTGTGAAGGGGCTGGGCGGCTGCGCAGTTTGCCAGCCTCGGGAGCCATGGGTTGGGGCCCTGCGCCCTCCTCTTCTGTGGATGCTGACTGAGGAAGGCCCGGCTCCTCAGGGAGGGCAGCTCATTTCTACCTTCTCCCTTACCCAGTGATAAATAATTAGTTACTGCACTGTAAAGACAATGGTCTGTTCTTTGATCATGAAAAATAGGGCTTGTAGCTGACCTGGTGCCACATCCTTGTAGTGCCAGAACCCTGGGGGCAGAGGCAGGAGGATCGAAAGTTTGAGCCCAACCTGGGCAACTTAGTGACTTAGCAAGATCCTGTCTCAAAGCAAAAAGGCTGTGGCTCCGTGCGAAGGCCCTGGGTTCATCCCCAGGACCGCGTTCTCTGCACGCTGACAAAGTCTGGATTTCAGGTGGTGGTGGAGAGTGTTAGTGGTCTCTAAACTTGAAGTTATTCCTAGGCATTAAGGAATTCTTAGAAATTGTTGTGCAGGTCTCTTAAATGTTCTTATGTATCTAATACTTTGCTGAACTCTAAAATTTAATTCCCAGTTGGGCATGGCATCACATGCATGTGGTCCCAGCACTCAGGAGACTGAGGCAGGAAGATCACCACAAGTTCAAGGCCAGCCTGAGCTGCATAGCGCGACGAGACCATCGCAAAAATCAAAAAAAAAAAAAAACCCCAATACAAAAGAACCTAATTCCCAAAGTTTATAAGAATGTATGATGCTTAAACATTTTTATTGCTTGTTACTGTTTGGAATACAACGATAGTGTTCTCAGGCTTTCGACTGCACCAGGCTGAGAATCAGCCCGAGGCCGAGGTTACGTGGTCACTTGGAGGCCGTCAGCGTCACTGGCTCTCAGCTCCCACCCGTGCGTGGCCCAGGGCTGAGTCTCGGCACTGCCTGGCGCGACGTGGACGTGCTGAGCCCGGGCCCTGGGCTGCAGGATGCCCAGCAGTGTGGGCGCCGTGTCCTGTCCCCCGTTTTGAAGGTCCTGGTTGAGGCTGCCAGGCTGTCTTTCTGCCCAGCCCTGGAGGACTCACTGCCTGCCCTGCTCCTCAGTCCCCACGTGGCCCCGAGAGCGTCCGAGTCCTGTCAGGGTCTCCACTGTGCTCGGAATCAGGGCTCACAGAACAGACTCCAGACTCACTATCACTTTAGTCATCACTTCTGATTTTCTGTGCTTGGATTAAAAATGTTCCCAGTGGAACAGAAAGGAAACTGGCTCTGTCTTGTCATTTCTGAGACATTTCGGGAGAGCAGACTGTTCTGGTAAGAGTTGCTCTCCCCGCGGCTGCTACACAGAGTAATGCAAATTGATAATTGTAGATGTTTTTCATAAAATTAGTATTCCTTTGTGGTGCTGATGATTGAACCCAGCGAGTGCTGAGCTCCTTCCCCGGCCTTTTTTAAAATTTTGAGACAGGATCTCATGAAGTTGCTCAGGTGGGCCTTGAACTCACGGTCCTCCTGCCTCAGCCTTGCATGGAGCTAGGATCACAGGCTTGGGCCACCATGCCCGGCTCAAAGTTAGTTTTTGATTTATTGTCAGTGTCTGCTGTCCGTGTCTCAGGTGTTTGGGGGCCCTGTATCCCCCGCATCCCGGAGCTCACAGCGAATGCTGATTCCGCGCATGTAGGCTCTACCCCCTGGGCACCTGAGCTGCTGTCCCTCTCCGCTTCTCTGTAAGTAGGGTCCTCTTTCACCCTTCCTGAACTCAGACCCTTTTAGAAAGTGGTGTTCAAAAATCAGAGCTTTAAAGGGGGAAAATCCTGGAGAAGGTGGCTGCGTGCCCAGAGCCACTCCTGGGCTCAGGTCCAGCTGCGGCCCTGATACTGGTGACTCAGTGCAGAGCTGGGCAGGTGACCCCTGACCGCCCTGTCTCCACACCCTCGGCTCCACCGTCACTGAAGCACGGGTTCACGGAGATGGGATTCTGGACTCGGGCTGTGCGCGGGGAGGGCCTGGTGCATCCTGGGCCGGGTCAGCGGCCGCACAGGTGGCAGTGAGAGGTGGCCACGCAGATGGGTTCCTCTGGTGTGACCAGAAATGGAGCTGCTGTCCGTCCACGCTGTGAGCCCTGGCCTGGCTGGCTGGCACACAGAGGTATAAGGTGCCCATTGGAGGAGGAGGCCCAGCCGGGCACAGCTGGGCACGTGGGTGCCAGTGGCTTCCTGTGTCAGGGAGTGGACATGCCAGCACTTCGAGTGACACACATGGGTGGTCACTCCACTCCGCACTGTCCCAAAGCACAGAGAGGGCGGGCCCGGCCCAGAGTCCCCCTCGGTCATGGGAGTGGAGAGCAGGGCAGAGCCCGTCCCGGGTCCTGGGGGCAGCCGAGTAATGCCGCTCGCACTCTGCACTCACCTGGCTCGGGCCCTGCGGCCACGCATGGAGCCAGGTGTCTGGGCTCAGAGCTGGGGCGGTGCAGCCATGAGTGCTGAGGCAGGGTGAGCCCCTGCTCCGAGGTGGGCAGCCGGTGGGGTTCGGTCTCTTAGGGGCCACCTGGAGGGCGCAATGCAGAGCAGCCTGCATGGTGGGGGGGACAGAGGGGGTGTGGCTCTGTGGGCACACAGTTTTTCTTTTTTTTTAGACAAGGTCTCCCTATGTAGCTAGCCTGGAACTCCTCGAAACCCTCCTGTCTCAGCCTCCTGAGTGCTGGGATTACAAGAGTACCACCATGCCTGGCTTGACATGGGTTCTGCTGTCCTGTCCAGGCCTTTGGACTCCTGGCTTGAAGCCACCCTCCTGCCTCAGCCTCCCAAGTGTCTGCTTCTGTAAACACACAAGGTGCAATCTTACATCTTTCAAAGGAGTGAAGGAGGCAAAAGAGAATGTAGATCTACAGCCCTCTGGCACCTTCCACTTCTCCCTGCAGCGCGAGCCCCTGGTGAGCCATGTCTTCTGGCCGCAGGCTGTGGACCCCGTTCCTCCTCCAGGGGGGCTCTGTCCAACAGGCCCTGCGCTGCAGCCTCCAGCTGTTTGCCCAGCCCGCCGGCTGCCTCTCCCGCCTGTCCCATTTCCTGTGGGAGTGTGGCTGGCGTCCTAGCAATGCACGTGAGGACACACTTCTGCTGCTCTCAGGCTCTCCGCTCATCTTCCGGGAGCCTGGCCTAGTGCCTGGCTATGGGCTTGTCACACTGTGCAGCCCAGGCCCCAGCCCCTCTGCCCGCTGTCCCTGCACCCCATGGTCTGGCTCGCATCTCCTGGGTGTTTTCCTCCCGCTGCCCGTTCCCGACCTTTCCTGTTGCTCCTACCTAGCTTTGAGGTTTCTGAGCTCTGCTGCCTGCAGGCCCTGGTGAACCCTTGTGGTGAATTTTGAAGTTTGGTTTTCACATTTTTCACACTACAAGTTTCCTTTGGTTTGAAAAAAAAAAATTCCTGCCTATTGAGAGTCTCTACTTAGGATTCATTATTGCTGTCACTTTCATTTTTCCTGTAGTTTCAGATTATATTTATACCAGCTGCTTTGACATCATCATTAAATTGAAAATCTGGACACATCAAGACACAGGTTTTTGTTGTTGTTGTTTTTAAAACAGTCTCACTGTGTTGTCCCGGCTTCAAATTCCAGATCCTCCTGCCTCTGCCTCTGGAGGGCTGGACTGACAGGCATGCACCACTGCACAAGGCAGAGACGGCTTTGACTCAGGGCTTTTTGGCCCTGAGTGCGAGTGCCAGGCCACACTCTTCTCCAGGCCTGAGGATTCTCCCTGAGAGTGATTCTGGGACCTGACCCTCTGTGGGCCCAGATGGAAAGATTGCGGCTCTAATTGGCCTCCTCCTCGAGCCCGCAGAAGGAAGCAGGCGTGCAGGCCGCTGACACGCTGCAGGGAAAGCGAAACACCTGAGGTCCTGCTGTTTACCTGGACGCCAACTGGGGAGGGGCGGAGGGAGGCAGATGAGTCCTGTGGAACTGATCGCTTGGGCCGGGTCTGCGTGAAAAAGCCGGGGTATGCCAGACACTTGGGCTGTGTTGCAGGGAGCCAGAGGCGGCCCTCTGATGTTAGCCTGTTTCTGCACCTGTTTATTTTTATCCTCTCACCCCTCGGTCAGGTTCCAGCTCGTAGGCTGGGCTCCTACAGGTGCTCAAGGAAGTCTGCCCCGGGGGGAAAGTCCAGGGAATCCGTGGCGGGGGCTGCGGCAGCAAAGAGGTGCTGGCCAGCAAAAGAAAACAACAAAAGGAAGCAAATGCGAGAAGGAACGTAAGTACAGCGGCAGGCAGCCGGGGCGACGGGGTAGAATTCATCACCTGAGGCGCAGCGCTGTGTCCCTCTTGGAAATTCTGTCACGCCAGGCTGGTGCTCTTTAGTGTCCAGTCAATTTCTCTGATGTTGCAAATGTTCTCAGACGTAGGTCTTGGTTTGCTTACATGGCACCTTTGCTGTAAAGTATTGGGGATTCAGTAAGAGGGTGCGGAGTGTGCTTGCACCCAGTCCCGGCTACATCCTCTAAGACTACACACGGAGCTTGGTCCGTGCAGTCCTTTGCCCCTTAACTGCGGGGGACATCCCACACCTAGTGCACCCCTGAGAGAAGGTGAAGAGGAAGGTGAAGAGCCCTGCTCCCCTTCTCTTCCTCCATCTGCGGCTGAGACAGTAGTGTCTCCTTAGCAAAGATTGGCTAGGCAGGCTGCGCTTAACAAGCGTTTTGCACCATGTGCATTTCCAATTACTACTTATCCTGACCCTAACAATCCACAACAAAATGCTCACGAGCACAGCCCTTTAGGGTATAAGGTGCTGAAAGAATTAAAATCCAGTGTCATGAACAACGGGGTTCAAGGACCTTTCATGCTAGGCTTGTTGGAGTCTGCAACAGGAGCTGTCATTTGCCTCCTTTAGATAGTGAGCCTTTAGCTAAGTCCTGCCTCTGTAGGACAATGCTTAACTTTCACAAGTTAGCAGCTGAGCAAGCTCGACAGAATCGGGCGGCAGGACACACGGAGATGACGGGAAAAAGGTTGCAGGGACAGGTCCTTGCTCCATGGTTGCATAGCCAGCACTTCCAGACCAGGCAAGTCAGCAGCTGGGTCGCTCTCCTGAGGACTGCATGCCCCTCAGTCTTCCTTCCGCATTGTGCCAGGCCCGAGAGCCCTGTGCCCAGTGTCAGGCAGGATGCAGGAAGCTATCCAGCCAGATTCCGCTGCCAGAGCTGCCTCAGAGATCGAGGTGCTGCAGCTAGCTTTTGAGAATGCTAATATGGATGTAAACAAGCGTGAGGGCTGTCAGAGTGGCTAAAGACCGAGGAGCCTATCCGAAAGTGTGTCAAGACGTGGGAAGGTGCTGAAGGTCGTAAGTTGTCTGTGTTTGCCCAAGCTATGTTTGGTTTAATGAAACAAAACTGGGCTTCTTCAAAGATACGATTCTTAATTGTGGGGAAACAGGGCAAATCCGTGAACACTGCCCTCGGCCGCAGGCAGGAAAGGGGTGGCCTCCAGGACCTTGGCTGCGAACCGTCCTTGCTGTGTTTTTGCTCCGCTGCTCCCCTCCCCGGCTGCTCCTCTCCCCTGAGGGTTCTCACTGTGGCCTCCCCGGTCAGGTGTCCTGTCCACTTTACACGGTGTCCCTCAGCCTCGGCCAGTGGCCAGCTGGAAACTGGACAGGGAGGCCCTGCCCCCTGCCTGCGTGTGCCGCGCCTCCTGAGAACCCGCACGGCCCTGGGAGCCCCCAGCCCGGCTCCCTGCAGCCCGGCCATGGGTGTCAACACTGAAGGCCTCAGACCGTTGGGGCCGAGGTGTCACACAATGGAGGTGTGAACCTCTGCTCTCCAGGACACAGGTATCGTTGGTGCAAAATAAAACGCAAAGAGTTGAAAACAAATCCTGTGAAAGTGCCGGATGGCGTGTAGTTCCCCGGGCCTGAAGCAGGCCCACTTTTATACTGCGGGGGGTGGAAGCCGGGGCCCCGCACGCCAGGGAGGCGCTCACCACTGAGCCACACGGCAGGCCCGGGATGTCCTGGAAACCTGGCCTCTGTGGTTCCGTGTGATCACTCAACGCGTGGTGACCGTGCGTGTGTGGGGGCGGGCATGAGTTTTCTGCACGTGCTCAGCGTGCCTGGGGAGTTGGGAGTGGCCGTCTGCTGGCCTCACCTTTGCTGTGTGCCTGCGCCTTTGTGTGGGCTCCTGCGGGTGGTTTCTGACTGACGGCCGCTGGACTGCGGCCGGACAGCGCTGCTTCAGGAGGACCTCGCCCTCGCTGGCGGCTGTCGTGCCTGCGGGGCACCTGATGGGCGGCAGAGGGCGCCGTCAGCACCTGCATGTGGCTGCTTTTCCTCCCTAGCAAATGATTCCTCAACTGGGAGTCCTGGGAATCTGAGTCAGTTGCATTCTGCTTCTCGCTGACCTGCAGGACTGGAGGGCTGTCTGCCCTGCTGCTGCCCCTGCTGAGGGCCAGCCCTGGTCACCTGGGCTCGCTCCTGGGGACCCTGCCAGCGACGGTTTTGTCAGATGGAGGCTGTGCAGCCCTGTGCGGGCTGGGACCGCGGGGGACGTGGTGTGGCTGAGAGGGAAATGGCACACTCCGGGCTGGCAGTGAGGGGCACACCTGTCCCAGCAGAAGGGTTTTATTCCCAGGACACACGGAGAAGGCGCCCTGCTCTGTGTTGGGGCCGGGTGTCGGGGGACCTGGTGTGGGAGTCACCGCGATCAGTGGCAGCTGCCGTGAGGATCAGACCCAGGCAGTTGGCAGCACGGCAGGGAGAGGACAGTGGTCGGGGCCAGGGCTGTGGCTGTCAGAGCGGGAGTCCGCGCCAGCCGGCCAGGAAGAACCAGCCGGAGGGCGAGGTGGGGAAGGAGACCACAACTCCTGACGTGGTTGCACATCAGGAGTTTCCATGATTTCCCTTTTGTACCCGCCCAGGTTTGCGGCCATAGTGGTCACGCTGCTCGTGGGTAATTGGTGCCCGGACTCGCACAGCTCGATTCGCTTCGCCCTGCTCCTCCCTCTCCCACTTTCTCGTGACCCCCTTCTCATTGGAGAAAAGTCTGTTTCCCTACTTCTTCTCTGTCGTTTATTTTGCTCTTTATGTACAACTTGTATTTCTCTTATAAGAGAAACCATGTGACATTTAAGCTTGCGTGCCTGATTTACTTCACTTGGAGCATTAGGGTCCTAAGGCGCATCCATTTTCCCACAAATGTCTCAAGTTTATACTTATTTATGACAGAGTGCTACTCCATCCATCTGCGATGGACACACAAGCCGTTTCCAAGATGTAGCTGTTATGAGTTGTGCTGCTATGCACGTGGGTGTGCATGGATCCCTGTATTAGGGTGACTGTGACTCTTTTGGGAAGACACCCAGAGGGGAATGTGGGGGTCTGGCTGAGGAGTGAATGGTTAAAATGTGGGGCAACAGCCGGGCGTGGTGGCACACACCTGTCATCCCAGCACTCGAGAGGCTGAGGCAGGAGGATCGCCAGGAGTTCGAGGCCAGCCTGTGCTACATAGTGAGTTCAAGGCCAGCCTGAACTGCATAGCAAGATCCTGTCTCAAAAAATGTGGGGCAAAAGTACACAAATAAACAGGGGACCAAACACACACAGGCTCTGGGAGGAGTGAATGGTTAAAGAGGAAGTTTAGTTTTAGTGCAGCATGCTGCGTCTGGCCATGTCCTTCCCCTTTTCCTCAGAAAAACTGCCTAGCCTTGAGACAGCTCCTGGTCCAAACTGCTTTTTTCCTGTTTTTTTCTCTTATACTGATATTCTAAATAAAAGCCAGAGGCTCAAGGTCCTAAGTTCTATCCCTGGTACCAAAAAATAAATATAAATAAATAAATAAAAGCCAGGAAGTTCTTGGCTTGGTGGCCCTTCTTCTCCCAGAGTCTCCCCGATGGCTGGGCACTCTCTGTGGAGAAACAGCCCCTCTGGGCCTCTCGGTGACTGAGCTGAGTCTTTTCGTCCTCCGCGCAGCCTGGTGTCGCACACTGAGGCAGGAATTTCTAGTTTAGTTTCTGAGGAATCTCGCACTGAGCTCCACAGTGGTTGTGCAGTCTGCACTCCCACCAACGGTGTCGGGCCCTTTTCCCTGCAGCTCTGCCAGCACTGGTTGTTATCTGGCTTTTTGATGGTGGCCAGTCTTTGTGGGTTGGATGGAGTCTCGGTGTTGTTTCAGTGTGTACTTCTCTGATGGCCAGTGATGCTCAAGGTTTTTTCTTGTGTATTTTGGCCACCTGTATTACTTCTGTGAAGTGTCCATATATTTTGCTTGCCCATTTAAAAAATAAAACAACTTTACTGAATCAAAAATTGGTATACTGCATGCTTTACAAACTTTAAACATAAGATTCTGGTGCTTGCTTCGGGAGCATATATACTAAAACGTAAGATTCTGTAGATTTTAATACATTGACAGAATTGTACAACTTCCACCTCCATCAGATTTAGGTCATTTTCATTATCAAGAATCAAAGTGCTCCACCTGCTTGCTGTCACCTCCGCCCCCAAGTCTAGGTAACCGCTGAGCTACTCTGTCTTTAGAGAGTTTCCTATTCTGGGAATTTTAAAGGAAGTTTCAAAATAGACCATGCCGATAGCAATGGGCACTTAGGTCTTTCACTTTAGGTGGGATGATTTCCTGAGTTCTTCGTGCATTCCAATGTGCACCTGCCTGAGGAGGGGCTCGCGTGGTTGTCCACTCTCCTGGCCCCTCCACAGCTCTGAGTACACATCACTCTTACTTGTATTTCAATTGCACACAGTCATGAGCGTGGCAGGTTCAGTGTGCTGCGGCACCTGTCCACACTGCGGTGGTCAGGCGGGCTCCTCCGCACTGCCGTCTCCTCAGCTGGCCAGGTCTCTGCAGGGCTGTGGCCGCCTGTGTCTCAGGCCCAGGGGACTCGTGGCGGGGTTGGGGCTCTGCCGCCATCCGCCTGCCTGCCGGCCGCCTCCTTACCCACTGTGCTTTGCGGCCTGGCTCCCGGTGTCGCCCGCCTCTGCTGGCCACTGGCCTGCCCTGCCCTCTCCTTGGACACGGCCTCTGGCTTCTGCTGGGTGCAGGCTGCGGGATTGGTGCCTGGCAGAAGGTGATCCCTGAGCTGCACTGCACAGACGGCTCGAGGCCTGGATGGTGGCCGGCGCTGGGTCCCTGCCCGCGGGCACAGAGTCCTGAGAGGCAGAGTGGGCCGGCAGGGGCACCAGAGGGAGGCGTCCTCGCCTGACCCTGAGCGGTGGGGGCTGCACACCCTGGGACCCATGGAGGCTGTGCGCTAGGGGTGTGGCTGGGCCTCCAGGGCAGGGGTCGGGTAAGACAAGGACAAATTCCCGCCCCAGGGCCCAGGCCATGAGACTCTCTGACCACACCGATGGGGCGCTCTGCAGTGCCGCTGCCCTGGCCCCACGGAGTCCTCTGCACGCGGGGACGGGGCCAGGCAGGAGCTGCGCAGGACTCCCAGGTGTGCAGTCTGCTGCATCCAGAGGGCTCGGGTGCAGCCCCGTGAGGAGGCCATGCGGCTCCCTGAGCACCCGGCGCTGTGTGGGTGGTGCCGACTGGGCGAGGTCGGTGTGGCCGTGAACCGTAAGACTGGGCTCCCGGCTCCCGGGCTCGGGACGCTTACGCAGCGGCAGGCAGGGGATGCGGGCGCCTCTGAGAGCCTGGAAGGCTCCAAACGCGGGCACCCGGCCGGTCAGCCAAGCGCGCCCCCTGGCGGGCAGATCCCGCCCCACAGCGGCCCCACAGCGGCCCCAGCGCTTGAGGCTCCAGGCGCTGCGCAGAGTGCGGTCACTTCTGCTGGCGGGGCCGGGCTGACCCCGGGCGGGGTCAGAGGCCGAGGTGACCGCGGGCAGGGCCGTCACAGTGTCCGCGTGACCCCCGTCACCCGCCGGGGTCTCGGTCACTCTGGGTTCTGAGCCTCAGCGTCTTGGCCCGATGAGCGCGGCCCTCGGAGAAGACGCTCAGGGACGCACGCGTTTCCACCGCCTCGGTTCCGCCCCGCCCCGCCCCGCCCCGCCCACTCCAGCTCCGCCCCGCTGCCACCGGTCTGCTCCCCCGCTCCAGCCCGCCTTCCTTGGGGTCCGGCTTGGCAGGGACCCAGGCCCGGCGTCCCGCGAGGCGCCAGCGAGTGAGGAGCCCGCGGGGTACACGGCCTCCTCCGCCGTGCGCCAGGCCGCGCCCGTGCCTGTGTACAGGATGACCCGACCCGCAGGACCAGGGAGCCCTCCGGTAGGCCTCAAGGGAGCCAGGGCCGCAGAGCCGCCCCTGTTCTAACAAAATCACTGGGAAGGAGGACAGGAAGAAACCCAGAAACAAGGCGCTGCATTCAACCACAGCTGTTCCTGCAGCTGCAGATGAAGAGTAGTGCTATGTCTGTAAAACCCAGTTTGACAAAAGCCACAGAATGCAGGGCTGATAGTGACTCAGATAAGTAGGACTTTATTTTTCTCCCTCGAGAAGCAGTTTGAGTGCACAGCTGCCGGCAGTGACTCAACATCCATGGCTCAGGTATTACAGGAATGTCATGATTCTATTGACCTTTCTTCATGGTTACAATGTAGTTGCCACAGCTCCAGCCATCATATCCGTATTCACAATGGGAAATAAGAGAATGCAAAGTGAACTAATCTCACTAGTTCCTCTTTTTTTGCATTGGTTCTTTTTCCTTGGGGTTCCTCGTGGTGGTACACATGCATATAACATATTTTGGTCATATCCACCCCTCATTACCCTCCCTCTCCTTCCCGAGACCCCCTTCCTCTTGTCTAATTGTCTTCCGTTTCTTTCAAGTCATTCCTTTTTTACTCCACACTCCAGGAAACCTCACCACACTTGGCCACTCGGGGGATGAGGTTAGAAGGGACTGGAGCGGCCAGGGTGAGCCCTGCACTGTGCACTCCGGTTTCTCCTGTCTGAAGCATCCGTCCTGAGTCCTGCACCCGGAAAGGCTGTGTTCCCACACCCAAGGCCAGAGGCCCCGGGAGACCCCACCCCTGCCTTGGTGCCGGCCTGGGCTGGGCAGCGCTGGACACACCCAGCGGGGCTTGGTGTAGACAGGCTCCCTGGACAGCACGCCCCGGGTGACCGAGACGGTGATCACTGTCCCCCGGGTGGCATGGGATCACTGCAATGGAAACATCCTTTATTCTAATTTAACATTTGCAGAAGTGGGAGAATGTATAAGCGACTCTGTGGACATTTAAACAAATGTATCTATTTGAGACATAACAGTTTCCTGCTGGTGCACATAAATATCGCCCATGGCTTTCTCCCTCCTGGCCCTCCTGTCTGCCCACCCCCACATCACTTCTGCCGCCTTTACCCGGACCCAGCGTTGTGTTTTGTTCCAGTCCTTTTGCCCTGAGCTCTGTACCTGTTAGTGTCATCTGCTGACCGTGGTGTGCAGAGCTGGCCTGCGAGTTCTGCCTTCCATGTGCCACGGTGCCCACCTCTGTGGATCTGTGTGCACAGCTCCGTCGGTGACGTCCACTCAGCCACCGTCCACGCACAGCCGAGACGGCAGGGGGAGTGGGGATGGGACAGCTTCCCCGGCCCCACTACTGGAAGGAGCCGTGGGGTTGCTGCCCCTTGATCCAGCACGCATCCCTCCTGGGCCGGGGACCCCTGGACCCGCCACCCTCAGAAGCCACGGCAGTGTCTGCACCCCAGCCAGCCCTGGGCAGGCGCAGCGACTCGGAATCTGTGATAACAGACGCCTGGGCAGGGATGGAGCAAAGCCCATGGTGGGGACACCAGCTCTCTCCTGGGGACGGGCACCAGCACTGCAGACTCAGAGTCCTGGGGTGGCAAGGCTGGCTGTGACACCATCCACTGCACACTGGGCAGGGCTCTGGCTTGTGGATGTGGACACCGGCCTGTCCCCTGCCGGGGACTCCTGCTCTTTCAGGGCCTTCGCTGCTGACGCAGACCCTTTCAAAGGATTTGTGGGGACCCATGGTAGCCCCGTCTCCAGGCCGTGGGTACAGCTGGGTCCCATGACCAGGTCCTCTCTGTGCTGTCCATCAAAGGTTGCAGGATCGGCCTGGCTGGGGCGTTCTGAGTCCATTTGGCTTGCTCAGTTGGATCCCACGTGGGCATCTTTGGCGCTGTCCCCTGCCACCCCTGCCCGGAAGTCCGGGTTCTGCTGGGCCGACCCCGCCTCCCTGAGCTCTTCGGGCTTCAACTGTCTGGAGCCCTGACCACTGTGGCCTGGATGCCGCATCCAGGGGGGAAACCAGCCAATCAGGGTGCTCCTGCTTGCTGCCCCTCAGCAACACTGCAGGAAGGAGTCCTGGTGGCTGAGCTCCACTCCAGGGCCCCAGCATAGGGGTTGCACTCGCCAGCCACTGTGTTGGGATCTGCAGCTGGACATGTCGACGGGGTGCTCTGACTCAGATGGGATGGTGGGTCCGGCAGGCCCATCCTGGAGCGAGTCCCGCAGGGAGCCAGGTGGCTGGGCCCACACCGGGGAGGCCAGAGAGCCGAGAGTGCGGGGTGCGTGGCAGCTCCATCTGGCGGTGGGTGGCAGGCAGGTGGCACCATCTGGTGCCCGCTTGCTCGGGACGTGGGTTTGTGGAAGGTTCCGGGGCCGGGTGGCGGGGCCCGTCGTCCTCAGCAGGGTCACCCCTGGGTCCTTGGAGGAGGGGCAGCAGCAGGCTCAGGGCTGCCTCCCCCAGGGGCTGGGGACCCTCAGCCTGCAGGAGGGGCACGGGCGGGGAGCGTACCTCCTAGCTGCCACCCGCGTGTGGACTTTCCCCTCTCCAGAGGATGGAACGCATTCTTCAAAGCCAAAATGGGTGTCTCAGCCTGGCCCTCTGCAGCCCTGTGTTTTGGGTTATGGGATTCATCCAGCAAAGGGCTGCCAGACCCGCTAAAAATCCAACCATGGCTGGGTGTGGTGATGAAGCCTTCCTGCTGCTTGGGAGGCTGAGGCAGGAGGATCACAGGTTCCAGCCCAGCCCAGGCAATTTATCAAGACCCTGTCTCAAAGAATAAAGGGGCTGGGGATGGAGCTCAGTGTAAGGGGCTTTTTCTTCCGTTTCCAGTGGGTCGTCACCCTTACGTAGGAAAGCTACTGATTTTTGCCCGAAATAGTAAACACATCCGTATACAACATTGCATATGTTTGCTGGAACGAGATGACGCATGACCGTCATCTTGCGTAGCCCACGCAGCACCCGCCCCCGCCTGGTCCTTGTTAGTGACCGTGTTCCTGCCTACTGCAGCGCCCTGCTGCACACCTGCTTCCTGGCCCTCGTTCCCTGCTCTCACGCAGACAGCATTGAGCACCACGCGCTCCTTCCAGAAAGCTCCTGGCACGATGCCCAGCTCCTGTGAGCGCCTGCCTTCAGGGAGCTGCCACAGCTGGCCTGCCATGGCTGTGATCCCAGCTTCTCAGAAGGCTGAGGCGGGAGGATCCCAGTTGGAGCCCAGTCTGGCAGCTCAGCAAATTAGCAAGACACTGTATCAAGGTTAAAAAAAAAGGGATGAGGATATAGCTTACTGCAAAGGCTAGGTTCAGACCCAAGTACCTCAAACAAAAAAGGGGCCAGGGATTTAGGGGGTGAAACTCAGTGCTTCCTGGACTCAGTCCCCACTGCTCCCAGCCCCCAGGAAGGTGCTTGCCAAGGCCTAGCTGACCAGTCTGGCTGTGGGCCTTTCGGAGGCAGGACAGGCACTGTTAGAGGGCAGTGGGTGCTGGCGCCCCAGGTGGAGGGGCAGTTGTGGCCTGGGACCTCCAGGGCCCAGGGCGGGAGCTGTGGCTGGTGCCTGGCCCCACACTTGACTTCCTCCTGGGCCTCCCTGTCCCTGGACCTGGCAGGTGCCCCTCATGGGAACTCGTCCCCACTGCCCGGGACGGGTGGCTTCAAGCTTGGCGCCCTGGGGACCTGCTGCCGAGGGCTCAGCACGGTTGGTTTCCAGAGTTGTATGCACGAAGTTCTGAGTTTTGTGGCATCAGTGGTGACCCAGGGAGGACCCTGGCCTGGCTGCAGGACACTCGGGCTCCAACCTCCTCGAGGGCCCCACTGTCCAGCGCTAGGGCTGGGCCCAGTGGAGACGGAGCGGCCACCCGGCTGACACCCACGTGTGCTCGCCCAGGATGGCACGGTGCCTGCACATGAGACCACATCTGGGGCTCCAGAAGGCTCGGACCCAGGGCCAGCAGGATCCACAGATCCACTTCCAACATGGACTCCGGGTTTTTGAGGAAGTCGGGCAAGAAGCTGGGTTCCAGTCCTCCCCGAGGGCCCGGGTGCTTCTGGTCCAGCCCTGTGGCCTCGTGCACTGGGGGGGGGGGCGGCCTGGCCTCTGTGGGGCCACACGCGTGGCTCCAGGTCTGGCTGGGTCCTGCAGTCGGTTCCCACAACATAGAAGGAGCTAGTGTGAGCTGGTCGTGCAGGGTGCGCCCATCCGTGCGCCGTGCAGCCCCCACCCCGCCCAGGGCCACTGGCTGTTGTCACCCCCGAGTATGGCAACCCCTCCCCAGCCACCCTGGCCACCACTGACCGGCCTGTCCCGATGGGTTCCACATTTCATGAAATCAGAGTCGCACCCTGTGCAGCCGACTGCGTCGTGATTCCCTCAGCACCATGTTTTCAGGGTCCACACCGCGCATGTGAAATTAGACCCCGCTGCTTTTCATGGCTGAGTACTATTCCACTGCAGGGACAGACCACATCTTGGGGTGTCCCTGCCTCTGCCTGTGTGGCTGGTGCTGCTGCTGGTGAGGGGCTCTGCTAACCCTGCCCGGCTGCTGCTGAAGGGCTGCTGGCTCCCTCCCCAGGGACAGGGGGAGCACAGGCCCTTGGCCCCAGCTTCCAGGCGTTGGGCAAATCAGCTCTGTGGGAGAGGCGGGGGCAGTGAGCCTGGGGTCTGGGGCCTCATCCTGCGGGTGAGTCAGAGGTGGACGATTCAGAGGGGAAACTGCATCTGGCCTAGGAAGGCCCGGCTGGCCACGTGCTGCGTGCTGCGGTCACTCGAGGTGATGTGCGAGGTGAGGCCTGAGGCCGAAGCAGCTCTGCGACTTGGGGGGAGCAAAGCCGCTCAGCCCCCCGCCCTGCCGAGGGGCCCATGGTGCCACATGGTGTCCTGTGCCTCTCCAGTCCTCTTCCTGGCACCCTGAGCCTGTGGGTGTGGGGTCCCGCAGAGCAGACGGGAACCCCCCACTTGGGGGGAAGTGCGTGTGTGTCCGCGTGTGCGTGTGCATGGCCGTGCAGTCCACACACGCACCCCGGCACCTCCCTGCACCTCCCTGCACCTCCCTGCACCTCCCTGCACCTCCCTGCACCTCCCTGCACCTCCCTGCACCTCCCTGCACCGCGGTTGCTAGGTAGCGGTGAGTCTAGCAGCCGGGCAGTTCTGAGGAGGGGCGGTGGCCAGGTGGTGGGCAGTGCGTCCGGAGGCAGGCCCTGGCCTGGCTTCTGCACCGAGCATCTGCAGCCCCACGGCCGCCGAGTGGCTCCGCCTCCGTGTCTGCCGCCGCTGGCTCCTTCCTGACCACAGCTCTACCCGCGGCTCCGGCAGGCAGCGCGGGGACAGAGCCATCTTGGTGTGTGTGCGTGCGTGCCCGTGTGTGCTGGCTACTGACGCTGCGCAGCCCAGCTGCCGCTGCGTGGCGGCTGGCCCCTTCCCTGACCAGCCTGCGGGAGACTAATGAATCGTTCCTAGCCGGGCCGCACAGGGCCGGGCTCGCCTCGGCCTGGCCGCTGCCGGGTGCCGCCCCTGCCCGCCCCCGCCCCGTGTAATCTGACACAGCGCTGCAGTCCTCTCTCGGCCTCCGCTCCTCCGCTCGGGCTGGGCCTGCGGGCCCTCGTCCCAGGTAAGCCGAGGCTGACTCCGTTCTCCTAAGAATAGCTCCCGCTCGACTCACCATTCCGCACCCGCGCTGCCGCTTCGGGGATTGCAGGGCAAAGCCGGAAACTCTTGGCCCAGACAAAGTTGTTTTGCCCCGGGCTGCAGATGCCCTTCAGCGGCCCTGGGCGCAGGAGGCGGCGGTACTCAGCCAGGCGCAGGGCTCCGGTTCCGGGTGCAACGCAGGGTCCGGGTCAGAGGGAAGGGCCTTGGCTGTGGCTGCCGGCGACAGGGCGCTGGGCTCGGTACCCTCCCGTCGCCCCCGCTTTTCGGAAAGCCCCTCGGGCGAAGTTTGACATCGTGGCCTCCGCAGAGCCTTTGTAGGTGGGCAGGGGTGGAAGCCTGCGGCGCTCACAGCAGGACCGCACCGGGTGGGTGGGGGCAGCCGGGAGGGACAGGGACAAAGGGGCCGCGTGTGACTTCGATCCCATCTGAAGCAGGGCCCGAGCCGCCACACGTGCTGAGAATTTGTCACTTCACGTCCCGCTCTGATGATTTGTCAAGACAGACAGAGGTCCCGGGAGGCAGAGGGTGCATGTGTGCGTGTGTGTGTGTGTGTGCTCGCGTGCGTGCGTGCGTGTGTGTGCGTGCGCACACACAGGCTGCTCACCAGGGTGCATTCTCCCCTTGGAAACCGGGGGTGACCTGCCAGGGTTGGGCAGGCCTGGGAGGCCCCGTGGAAGGCGGCTGGTCCCTGGAGCCCACTCTGGCTGCCCTGCAGCTGGTGGCGGAGGAACAGGCAGGGAGGATGTCGGGTGAGCAGTGCTCCTCCCACACTGGGCAGGGAGGCCGTGGGCAGCCCCAGCTGCTGCTGCCTGTGCTCCTTGCTGGCCCTGGCAGGTCCTCAGGGTGCTGGGGGGTGCCTGGAGGTTGGAGGCCCTGGGGACTTGGTGAGACTGTTCCTGTCCGCTCAGGGCGGGCCGAGCGACCAGAGGGAGCCGATGTGGAAGTGGGAGACACGGAGTTGGGGGCGCTAGGAGTCCAGCCCCCGGCCCCGAAGCAGGCTGCAGAGCCACTTCCTTCCTTCCTTCTGTCCAGGTCCGAGCCGGAGCGGCCAGTGCCGATGGGAGGGGTGTCTGGGGCCCACTGTGAAGGGGCCGGTGGCTGGGGTGGAGGAAAACAATGCCCGCCCTTGCCTGGCTTCCTCCCTCCCTGCAGAGCCCTGAACTTGTGGGTACCACAGCAGGTTCAGACCTTGGACATTGGGACAGCCTTGTGGGGTGGAGTGGCTGGGCCAGGCCGTGGGCCAGCGTGGCCTTTCTAAGTCACTCCCGAAGACTAGGCGGCTGGCATCCTCTGCCCCTTGGAGAGGCAGCTGTGGGTCAGGAGGGGTGTCCGAGGGCGGCTTTCCTGGTGCTGTCTGCAGACATCACGGCTGGGGAGCAGCCTCCCACCAGCCCAGGAGGCCAGGCCACAGGTGTGGGGAGTCTTGGGGCCGCGGGAACCGGGTGTGCTCGGGAGGCGGAGGCAGCGGGCCAGGGCCCAGGCGCGGTGGGGTACAGGCAGTGAGGAGCGGCCGGGGGCTTCCTTCCCCACCCTGCACCCCGTGCACATTTGGGTTCAGTCATGATTGGGTTCGTTAGCAGTGTGGTGCCCACGCTATGGGCTGCACCCCGAGTCTGACAGGCACGGGGAGCCTCATCCCAGCAGTTCCCGGGGGCCTGGGGCGTGGCCTTCAAAGCAGCAGCATCTTTGGGGCTGGGGTCGCCCTGGTGACGGTGACAGCATGGGCCAGGCAGGTCTGTGCCGGGAGCATCCACGTGGCGCTGTGCCAGGTGTCCCCTGGAGGGCACGGTGACCCCATCTCGGGAGGAGGGTGTGTCAGATCCTGTTGTTCTGGGAACCTGGGAGGGACTGGCCAAGGTGCTGGCCCTCCATCCTGCAGCCCTGACCCTGGTGGTGGAGGGTGAGGTCGGTGACTCTTGCGAGGAGGAGGGGTGAGGGTCTCGCCCTGTGGACCCTGCTGTTGGCTGCACTTCCCTCCGGCCCACCACAAAGAGGGTCCCTGAGCAGAATTAGACTTTGGGGGCTCTGGGGGACCCCAGGGATCACATACCCTGGGTGCTTGGCAGTGTCCACAGTGAGGACATGCAGACAGGTGGTGCCACGGTCCACCAGTGTGATTGGTGGGCATTCTGGGCGGGGACAGGGATTCTCAGGCTTGGACCACTGTGGCCGAGGCTCCCATTGATCAGGGCAGAGGAGACAAGGGCACAGGTGCTGGGTTCCGGACCCCCAGTCCAGGGTTAGGGTTTGTGTTGGTGCCGGAGGCCCAGGGCTTGGGGCCTTGTCGGTTTCCCTCCTCGTGGGAGGGCCCTGGTGGTGGAGCCGGTGGGCACTGAGCTCGTGAAAAGGGGATACACAGTCACTGCAGCAAGAAGCACAGAGCCCAGCCTGGCCATGAAGGGCACTCCATCTGCTGGGCTGGGTCAGCCCCCGGCTCAGCAACAGTCTCCAGCGTGCGTGCGTGTGTGAGTGTGTGTGTGTGTGTGTGTGGCAGCCAGTCACAGTGCAGGGCACACTCCAGGCAGGTGGGGTCATGGCCTCCCCTCCTGCAGCTCTGGGCCTGGTGTGTGACCACTGTGTTCCTGTGAGTGTGGCATGGAGGCTCTGCTGGGGACTAGTGGGGTCCCCTGGCCATGAGTGGGGTGCAGCTGGAGCGGGCAGGGCTGCCATGGATGCGTCTTCACCCTCGGGTCTCCTGAAGCGAACCGCAGCTGTGGCCCTGCAGGATGGGTACACCTGTTCCCCAGGCTTCCCCTGCCCTGGTCCCCAGATTGGGTTCTGGGAGGCACCCAAGACTTGGGCCCTGTGCTGGGCTGGGTCCTGTCCTGGCCCTGGTGTGAGCTCAGGCCCGGAGCCCAGGTGGGCCCGGTGTGTGAGTCCCAGCTCGGGACCTTGCCCTCCTTGGGGTCGTGGAGGATGACGGCGGGTCCCTAATGGGGCATTCGAGGGGGGGGGGTGGAGCCACTGGGCTCGGCTGGTATGGACATAGGCCACTGGGGCTGCTGCTGCTGCTGTCCTGGACTTGCTGAGAGGACAATGGACTAATTCAGAGAGTACCAGGGTCCCTGAGGGAATTCCTAATGCTCCTGCTCTGGGGTGCTGTGGGCTTTGTTGAAGTTCAGGCCTGGTCTGCTGGGACACGAGGCCCAGCACTGCAGCTTGAGGGGAGAGGTGTGTTTGGCTCTTGCTGTAGAAGTCTCTGTCCTTGCATGGTTAGGGGTGTGCAGGAGGGCCTGGTGGAAGGGAGCTGCTCATCTCATGGCAGCCGGGAAGCAGAGTCAGGGAGGAACCTGGAGGGAGAGGGACAACGGTCCAGCCTTGCCCAGGGACACGGCTTCCCACAGGCCCTGCCTCGGATGGCACTCAGCTGTCCCGCCTGGCTTCGCCGGCTCTGTCTTTTCAGGCAGGTGCTGTCCTTTTGCAAGACAGTGGCACAGGTCTGGGGGACACAGTGAGATGATCTCCACGTGGAGATGTGGCCGGATTGGGACCCCCGCCGTGGCGGTGTCCCAGAGCCCGGCCTGCACCCACTGCGGGGACAGCAATCCCCTGTCCCGAGTCAGGGTCCTCATGCCACCAAGTGACAGCAACGCTGCCCTGGACACAGGGGCAGCCCCTCACGTCACGCGCCCTGCGGGCCCAGCGTCCCTCCAGGCAGGGTGTGGGCAGGACCGTCCCCAAGTCGGATCTGGGCCTCATGGTCTGGGACTCAGCCCTGCCAGCTCCGGAGTTGACCAGGAGCGGGCAGAGGAGGCACTCAGAAAGGAGGTGGTGCGGAGACTGGGAGCCATCAGCCCCGCCAAGCCTGGGAGCGCAGGAGGGTCTCCCCTGGGGCACCTGGCCGGGCCTCAACCGTGATGCCAGGCTTCGGGGCTCCTGAGCTGGGACAGGTGGGAGAATAGTTTTTTCTCTTTGCGGCACTGGAGGTTGAACCCAAGGCCTTCACACTGAGCTGCATCCCCCGCCCTTGTTAAATGTTTTGCTCTGAGACAGGATTTTGCTAAGTCCCTAAGTTGCCCAGGCTGGGCTCAACATTGCGATCCTCCTGCCTCAGCCTCCGTGAGTGCTGGGATCCCAGGTGTGGCCCCCGTGCCCGGCTGATGCCTTTTGTTTCCAACTACTCAGGTGTCCTACTTGTTTCTGAAGCCTGCGGATGTCCTGTCACTACTGTCCCCTTGGGGAAGGCTGCACAGAGGGCTGGGTGACTGGCAGTGACCCCACAGGCAGGAAGCCAGGGCGAGGGTGTGAGCTGAGGCGTTTGCACCCAGCGTCCTGGGACTTTAGGCAGAGCCTGGCCGCTCCTGGCTGGGCTCAGGCTCCTTCCGCCGGGGAAACTGACCCGGCTGCTGGTGGCAGAGGTGGGGCCTCTTCTCGGTTCCCCGGGGACCCAGGGTTACATCTGGGCTTAGACACTGTCCTCAGGGACCTGTGCTGCTGTTTCATAACCAGAGCGCAGGGCAGGGTGGGGCGGCAGTCAGTGATGGGGACCCCGCCCTGTCGCCCCCTCTCAGGCCTGGCTTCCAATGTGCTCAGCCCAAGGGACTTTGGGGACAGCCTAAGAGGAGCCAGAGGGCGATGTGGTCCCTTCTGCAGCCCTCCAGAGGGCCCGAGGCCCCTCTCCTGGATCTCTGTGCCTTGTGTGTCCTGAGCTGTCCAGAACCGGGACCTCCATCTTGACCCAGCCCTGGCCTGCCTGCTGACTCTGGGAGGGGAAGCGGAGGGCACCTCTGGGTGGGGTGCTAATCAGGCAGCCTGTCACATGAGGGCGAAGGGTCCATCCGATTAGGGCCCCAATTAGATCCAGGGCCCCGCTGGGCTGAGACTGCCCCTCACTGGAGACCCTGGGCGCTGCAGGAAGTGAGCCGCGACACGTTGCCAGGCAGGCACTGTCCTCTTAGGGAAGTTAAGGGGCAGCAGGCGCGAGGTGAGCCAGTGACGGGGGGGTGGGGGTGGGGGGGTGGC